TGTAATAAAAAGATAACCATCATACGATACAAGTATAAATCCAATTTCTATCAATTTTGTTGACATTTCTATTTTAAATATAATATTTGTTAAATTAAAAAATAATCGTTCCTACAAAACAAAATATTTTTTTGAATACTTTCTTCGCTTGTTTTCATACAGAACTAGTTGTTAGAATCAATCGACGCTTCATAAACAGTGTTATACAATTAAGAACTATTATAAATAATCAAAAGAAATATATATTAATATTCATTTTATTTTATTTTATTAATTAAAAGTGAAGAATTTTCTCGTTTTTCAATAAGTTTGTATAATTAATTATTCTCTCCATATAAACAATTTAAACATAATCGATTAGCTTAAAATTAACAAAACAAAAAGTCAAATATAAATCTTTATTTAAAGAAATTTATTTTCAAAGTTCATTTCTAAAAATACTTATATTTAATTATAAATATTCAGATGAAATAGGATAAACTTTATTTCAACCAATATTATTAATAGAGTAGTTGATAGAAAACAAAAATCAATATCAATATAGATTAGTGGTTATTATTGACAAAGTTTTTTTCAAAGAAATCTCTGTAAAAAATTTCGATAAACAATTTAATAACAAAAACAACTGAAATGAATAAATTTTATAATGAACATTTTTGATTATATTTCATATGATTAGATTCATTATTTTCTTAATATATATTATGTTGTTAGTATTTCAAGTATCTACGAACGGTAATCCAAAAGTTTATGGACATTTTTTTATAGCTATTTAGGGAATATATATTCGATCCATAATTTATCTATCATTTATTTAAGGTAATTACTGTGATATTATATAGGAGATTTTTTTTCTTTCGAAATAAACAAACAGATATTGAATTATCAACCTTGATTATTGTTTGAATTTCTTCGAAGTTTTTAAATGTCTCAAAACTTCGAAGAAATTTTTAAGCGGCGAACAGATTTAATGTGATATGATTAGCAGTTATCAGATATTGATGCGTCATCGCAATATTGGATAGGAACCATTATTGAATCTTAGTCCAACAAGAGAAACTAATTCTTCAAGTGACATTTATTATTATTTAGAATATCAATTACTTCATGATATACAAATCATTATTTGATATCTAGTTGTACTCACACAAGCTAATAATTCTATCTATAATAGTAATTAATGCTTAAATTGACAAATGTAAAAGTTATCGAACAAAAAACATATCATCATAATCAAGTTCGATCACTTTTCATCAGTGTTTTTGAGCAGCATGTA